GGTAGTGAAATATGAATTAGGGAAATATCCCGTGGATCAAATCCAAATCTTAAAATTTTATGTAGAAAGAATTTTTAAAATAAAAAAGCCATTGTACAGGCTACGTGTAAAACCTAACAAAAAAATATAAATGATTAAACACAAATTTTGTTAAACATATTTAAGTATATTATTTATGTGTGGTTAAAAGGAACGTAGAATATCTTAAAAATTCAAGTTTACAATATAGTATAACTTTATTAAAAACTGCCTAAGGTGGTATGGGCAAAAGATTTTAAGAAAATATTTTCCTATGATTTGAATATAATGAGGTTTTTTGACATCAATATCATATCCATATTTTAAGAACTTATGATTGAGTCAGATGACAAAAAAAAATACTTTCAAAATATATTAATAAAATGTAGTACCAAGGTATATGATCAAGCTCAAATTATAACACCAATAGATTTAGTATCTAATAAAGAAAATATGATTATTTTTCTATTGGTGATGTTGATGAGTTCAATAATACAAATAACATTGAACTGGAGGTTTTAAGTTATATTAAAGAATGTCGAAATACATTATAAAGCTTAATTATTATCCTTTCAATAAGGAAATTTTTTATAAAGATAATACTGCAATACCTTCATCAGCTCCAATTGAAAGGTTATTTAGTTTTGGCACAATGTTAAGTAGGTTGAAACGGCAAAGGTCTAATGATTAATTATTTGATTATCTTAATAATTAATCTATTTTAGATACTCTTTTGCATAATATTTCAATTCCTATTAAAAATAAGTCTCCTTTCTGTGCTAAGAATGGGCTATTACTAGACATGTGCGCCGCCGGTCAAATACGCCGCCGCCGATGATTTCGCCGACGCCAAAAAAATGTCGGTGTTCAACACGCCGCCGCCGATGTAAAAATTCGGCGACGTGGCGGCGTGATACATATTTTATATTATTATAAATAATATTTATGAATTGTAATTAAAGGAAAAATATTAAATATTTTTTGAATTATTAAAAAATACGATTTTATTTTTTAAAATAAATAAATATTATTTGCGATAAATTTGATTTGTAACAATCCATATAATACACGTTCGCTCACTTTAGGCAGGACGAAGCTAGATAAAATAAGATTAGGACATTAAAATAGAAAAGCTATTGATATTATTCTAGATTTTATTCTTTTAATTTATGATGCTTCAAATATTTTTAATAAAACCATAATGCAATTTACAACTTGTTATATAAAATTTATTTTTTATCATAAAAGGAAATTTTAATTAATGATTTTTATTTTGTTGCCATTATAACATATATAAAAATAGCATGACTAAAACAATTATAATGGATGCAGCATTGCAATACCCTGTAACAAAATATAGTATATCCTTGCAAGCAAAGCCTTCTTTTGCATGGAAACATTTTGAATCCTTAAACTGACATAAATAATAAGAGAACCAGTGTTGCTATGCGACAGATAAAGTCTTTTGTAATATATATGCTTGCAAATAGAACTTGATAAAGATGGTGAGGAAGAAAATAATTATTCATTTTCAGAGTAAATTTTTTGATTATTTTAAAAATATTTGTCAATTTTTTAATTAGTTATCGAATCAAATCTTTTTCAAAAAATATCAACATGACTTATCACGTAAAGAAGAAATATCTAAAAAAAATTTAAAGTTAATTTTCAAACCCATTGTAAAAGATACAACTGACCCTATAAAAGATAAAAAATGGATTCTGGTAAAAAAAACTGTTGAATTTTTATCCACCCAAAAAGGAGTTACTATAAATTTATCCTTATTATTTCGTAGTGAAATTAATCATTTAATTGTAAAAGAATATGATAGTCCTCCCATAACATTCCTTAAACAAAACATGCTTACTAAATTTGATCATAGATTTCCAGTAACCGATCTTGAGGTAGTATTTTAAAATACATAAATTATTTTTTATATTATTTCTCTGTTTTATTTTTTTACTTAGTTGTTAGGAGCACATTCCTTGTTTTCAATTTATAAACATAGTAAATGAAAATTTAAAGGAAAAAAATATTACTCTGGTGCAATTTTTATGTCAAGTTAATAAACTACCAAATCAAATTTATTGTATAATTTAGAAACAAAAAATAATCAGAAAATATTAACGGGCAAGAAGTCAAATACATAAAATTAGCAAGTAATATTTTATTCACTCTCTACGGCCTTACACTGACGAATTAAACGAATGTGAAAAGACGGAAGCTGCTTCAAAACTCGATTATCTTAAGTCATTGGCTACGAAACGAAACATCAATAACCTGGAATAACAAGACTGTTTAACTAGTTTAGAAAAAAAGTGTTATTCATTATTTTCGCCTTATAATTTAGAGATAAAAGATGTCTTAGATATTTGGAAAATAAGAGCATTGAATCTTCCTAAACTTTCAATATTAGCTAGAAAGGTCTTGTGCGTTCCAGCTACTATCACACCCAGCGAGCGTGTATTTTCCATAGCTGGGCTCACTCTGAACTCTAAAAGATCATTATTATGTCCTATAAATCTAAATATTATAAACAAAATAAAGCATAAATTTTATTTTAAAAGTGTTTCCAATGAATTTATTATTTTAATTAAAAAAAATTAAGCTAGAAAAATTTTTGACGCCGCCGCGCCGCCGTCGATTTTTGTGGCGGCGTTCATATCGATTCGCCGCCGCCAGCCGATCATTTTAAAAAAAGAAACGCCGCCGCCGAAAATGCTGTCGGCGCATATGTCTAGCTATTACTAATATTAAAATGTTTGATTATAATTAACTCATCATTAAATATTTTATTACTTATTGTAAATATTCATTATATGCGTATGTAATGTTCTTCACAAATAAATAATAAAACTGTATTTTATAAACTATTCTAATTTAAGATAATGATAACTTATAAGTATTTTGTATTTAAGATACTCTAATTAGGTTAAAGATACAAGTTTCTTTTATCTTGTATTTTTTTGATATTTTGAAAAAGATACTATTAATCTAAGATTCATTATTCATAAAGAATCTGTATCTAGATTCTTTTTTTGGACCTGCCCAACTCCGGTCCAGTCAACGTGGATAAAATACTCAAACAATATCATTCCATCAATATGCAAGGTTGAACTTGAAACTAATAAATTAAGAATCGATTCCAGTAAGAGCCCAAAGTGGAGATTGCATGAGTATCAAGAGCCCATTAGTGGAGATTGCATGAGTATCAAGAGCCCATTAGTGGAGATTGCATGAGGATCATTTTCCCGTGTTGTCGAAATGGCAACTTTTAGAGATCTTTGGCTTCATGTGAGGGGTTAGACTCAGTAGGGACAAATATGATAATGAAGAATAGAATATCTTTGAAGGAGAAAAGTCTTCATGCTTGAAAAACAGGTTGCCAAAATTCAGATTCAGTAATTATATTTTGATGTTTATAAAATGAGATCACTTGCATTTTTAGAAATTTTAAAAAAATTTGAGAATATATTAGACCAAAGAAATGATGTACACAAAGGAATTTAAATAAGCAATTCTGATTCTAAAAATCGGGTGATTTTGGTCAATTGTTTTGTAAATTTTGATATTTAATGACAATTAGTTTAAGTAGAATGTGTCATTAACATCTTATTATTTTTATTGCAAAATATAGCTTTAGAAGAATTTTCTAATCAACATTATTCGTATTCATACAAATAATATTATTCAATTCTTTTTTTATAGGCCTAATTGTGATATTAGTTAACATATCGAATAAATATACAAGATAAAATTTGGTTTTAGCTTATTATTTAACCATTTGATGTCATTTATAGAGATTCGAACCGAACCAGGAGAAGAAAACACGGGTTTTTGGGAAAAATATTTGAACCCATACTGATATTGAAACCTGTTTATAAAATTTAACCCCAAACCAAACCCAGGAATTTTATTTGAACCAGGGTTCACTGTATTGTTTAAATTAATATAAGATATTTGTATAATTGTAAATAAAAATATTAATAATTTATTTGACATTTTATAATATTTTAAAATTAAAGTAAAAAATTATTATATTGGATATTGTTAATTTAAAGAAATTTTTTTAAATCTATTCATGTCTATGCTTTGTATTTTTAGCTATATTCTATAAATAAAATAAAAAATTTATTTTTTATACCAAATTTGTGTCTAGTTTTTTAAATATTGAATATCTTTGTTATCAATTCAAAAATACTTAAACCCAAGCTGAACCCAGAACCAGACCCAGTTTCAAAAATATTTTCCTGAAACCCACCTATTTTTTAACCTTAAACAGAATCTGAACCAAACCTGGGCAAAAATTTTTCCAGGTTTGCATCTCTGCATATATAAAAATCTATCTAGTAAAATAAATGCAAGGCAAAAGTATAAAAACTCCTAGCAAACTTTCCTTACAACTGAACCTTTAAAATGATTGCTGGCATTATATATCATATTATCACTGATCACAAAATGTAAAATCAGGTTTATAATAACCAGGCAATATAATAAATGTTAAATACCAATCTTTTATTCATTTAAAAATTACATAAGCTAATAAAATTTTATTGTCATAAGGAGTATTTCAATTTTAAATAATTTACTGAGAGCAATTTTTATGGGAAATATATCATAGCATGTGTAGAGTAGAAGTCTACAAAGGGCAGGTTTTCTTTGGGTAGGATTTAAATTTTTTTTAAATAGACAAGACATTTAGGCTAAAACTTGAAAAGGTTCAAAAGTGAATTGTAAAATCTTAAATTAAAAGTGAGATTTTAAATCCCAATTGATTCCATATCCTAATTCAACATGTATAATAAATGTAACAAATAAATTTTGGAATTTATATTTTCATGGTCTTTTTCATACCCATGATTGTAATGGTCTAAGTTAAATATGGAACAGTTTAAATTTATCAGGGCTGGAAAAAGCCTATATGTTATCAAATTAACGTAACATGGTTGGAAAATAATTTTAATCTTTTCCATTTTTATCATAAACTAAAATATCTTGTAAAAAATGGCATAAACAATAGAAAATGAATTTTTATTTAAATAATATATTATAAATTAGATATTTTTCTATTTAGTAGTCTTTTTTGTGGTTTTATTAGTGGAGACCTTCTGAACTTTATTTTTCAAAATTTTTGACTTCTATTTGTAAAAGAAATTTAAAAGCATTTTATTAAATTATTTAACTTGTAATTTCCTTTTCTGAGATTTTAAGTCCTTTTTACCTAGCTTCGATGAAATACAGAAATTCCTTCTTTTAGTTACAACTGAATATGGATTAAGTGTAGCCATAATATGAGGATGTTTGAGAGGATTTCTTTTAACTTGTCTAACATGTGGAACACATTTTTTAGACTTACAATTGTCTATTGCAGTTTGCACTTCCTCACTTGAAAGTATTGCATTTATATCAGTATTAACCATCATGGGCAATGGTAAACTATATATTATTTAGACTAAATAAATATAAATTTAATTTACTGAAATCCTTTTTTAACAGTTGAAGGATGTTTAAATGTGCCAAATATTTTATCTAATTGTTTAAATGCACTTTCTGTCCATATTATAAAACGACCAATCTTCCCACCAGGTGCCACTCTAAGCAAGTTTAGCTTTCTAACATTTAACATTTGTATCCCTATACAAATGATTATAAAATAAATAGCAAATCATTACCTGGAATATTTCCAAATGCTCTCTTGAGGCCATTATCTTTGTTATATATAATCAATGGACCAAGTTTCTGAACTTTTCTTCTATTCCTCATTTTTCCTTTACCAGCTCTGATTCTTTTTGAGTCTTTAGCCTATATAATTATTCAATATAAAATGAGTTATTTATTTTCTAAACCTTTTCAATATCCGACCAAGCTTTAATTGACCTCAACATAGTCACTGCTTGTTTAGTTTTATTATAACTTTCAATTTTATCAGAAACTACCAAAGGGATTTCTGGAACCTGATCAATAACATGACCTGTTAAATAAAATTTATAATGATAAAAAAAATATATGATACCTTTTGCCATTACTAATGCTGGCATTGCCGATCCAGCTAAAGCCGAACAAATAGCATACCGTTTTTGATTAATATTAATGCGTCTATGCCATTTACGCCATACTTTAGTTGGTGCAAACATGTGGCCACCTCGACACATGTTTCCATAGGCACCTTGGCCCGATCTATGAGTACCACCGCCTCTAACCCTAGGAATACGAGCCACTGCTCTTCCAGTTCCCCACGACTCAGCTGATGTCTGATGACCTACGAAATGCAATGTTAAATAAAATCAAAAAATTATGTCAGAAGGTTATTTAAAATCAGAGTTCATAAACACGGACCTAATTTCATCATTTTAATAGTTTTATACCTGCTTTGGTAGAAACGGCATAAGGTTGCCTTTTGTTTAAAGCCATCTGATCATGGACAAACTGAACTAAATCCGGCCGTAAGGGTGCTTTAAAAACTGCAGGCATTTTAATATACTTGCCACTATTTTCATTTTTATCTGTATACACAGTGACCAATGGTCGAGCTAGAGAAACCTTTTATAAATAATAGAATAATGTAACTAAAATATAATTTACCATAAAGGAAATGGGTTAAAAGTGTTTTGAGAAAATTGTTACCAAATGTAAGAAATTTTTTTAAATTCATAAAAATAATTTTTACATTTACGTTTACAAAATATGTTGATGTTAATTGCAATCTTATAAACTATACTATAGCATTTTATATCAACTATTTAAATAAAGAACAGTAGAAATATTAATTTTTTAAAATATCTGGTTGTTTTCTCGTTTATTAAAAACTATGATAAAATTATTATAAGTATACATTGTGTGTAATATTTTAGTTCATATCATTTTTAGTATATATTTTTTTAAATATATGATTTTTTTTATCCTATTATATAAGTTTTAATATATATATATCTTAAATATTTTGAATAATTGAAATTAAAAATATAATTTAAATATAATATAATAAAAAAGAAAAAATTTATATAATACCCAAATCTTAATATTTTATATATAGGCGGTCAGGATTTCGCTAAAGTAATATAGGGGAATGCACTATTAGGTAATTTTTTCCCCATAAATTTTATTAGAGATCTTTATGTCTTCTTATTGTTGGCACTTGGTATATTAAATTTTTATACAAATAATTTTAGGCTTCTACTTTTTAAAATATAAATGTTCTTTTTCTAAATATTTTGAATTATGGTCTTTATTTTAAAAACTATTAACTTATACTAATTTTTCTTTCAAATTTTTCTTTATGTTGATATCGCATACATTTAAGGGGTGTTGGGGGGGGGGGGTTAATTTTTATTAACTTATAAAGATATTTAAGAGAAAATTTTAATTTTCAAAAGGGAGAATTTTCCTTGCCCTCTGGCTACACACGCGACTCATATTTAATAGATACATATGAGTTATATCAATTTTCTAAAAATATATTGTTCACATAGGCGTAGCCAGGGGGGGGGACAAGGGGAAATTCCCCCCCCCCTCAGAAATTTATCACTTTTTGTAAATATCATTTTTAGCTAATAAAAAATATCCCCCTTAGTCCTCCCCCCACTCCCTGACCCTCAAATATGTATGCATATATCTTAAATAATAATTTAACTATTCATCATAATTTATAAATTTTTGGGAAAATAAATTTATAAATATATAAAATGAACCAAAAATGTTTTTTAATAAATGGAATATAAGCCAAAGTCTTAAGACAGAAGTGAAATGTATTATAATTATTAATAATAGATCCATAAAATTACTAAATAATATAATATATAAAATATAATTTTTTATAAAGTGAGTAATTTTAATTTATTAATCTTAATAAAAGTAAAATATAATTTTAAAACTATTGATAAAATCAAATCATAAATTAAAAAAATATTAAAGCACAATACAAACAGTGGAATATTATATGTCGTAGATTTAATCAAATGACAATCAAGTAATTTTTACCAATATAGCGAATAATATATTTTATAGAAAACTATAAAATAGTGATAAGGACATCAGAAAATATCTTTTGATGACATTGTGGGATGAATAATATGAAGAATAAATTAAAATAAATAGATGGCGTCAAATAATTGAATGCAAATTGTTGCTATATTTAATATCAAGAGCATTGATTAGTAAAATATGTTAAATTATTAACTGTAATATATTCTCTAACTGTTCATTAATAACTGTAATATATTCTCTAACTATCAAATATGTCTGTAAAAGTGGAATTTTACCTAGTATTTTATAACTAATTCTATATAATAGAGTAAAATCAACTATATGTCTACTTACTTTTTATAAATAAATTACTTATAATTGTTTGGAATAAATTATTACCATGCTTTTATAAGGTATATACAATACAAGTAATTTATTATATTTTTATTTTATATAAACTAATAAAAATATATTTCATATTTGTTCGGGCCGAAGGCCCGCCCAAAAGGGGGTCTGGGGGCGAATCTCCCAGTAATTTTTTAATCCCCCCCCCTTATGAAAATCCTGGCTACGCATATGATTGTTCATTATATGACTTACCTAGCTATATTAAACAAACGTAGCTCTAAGAAAAAGAAAAATCATTTATAATATTTCATAATAAGCACTCCCTCATTTCTTTAAGTAGCTGCTTTTTAATGTTGAATAAACGTACTACTGGGACAATAGATTAAAGACAGACTCTATGCTTAATAAATAATAGCTTGAGAGTCTAAAAATTAACATATCAGCAATAGCGGTAAATATGTACTATGGGATTGCTAATTTATAAAGATATCTTACATTTTTTCATAATATTGGAAATTTTATTACTAATTTTTTGCTTAGTTTGAGAAATTAGGATTCAAGTCGTGTATAGCTTTTTTTTAATAAATAATGTATTTTTGATGTATGATTTCTTACAATATTGTTTTATTCTTTGAAATATTTAAGATATGAAAAAGCAATATTAAATTATAACTATATTAATATTTTTATCATGGGCATTATTCAGTGACGAAGCGTCTATAAATGCGGGAGAAGTACTGTGTCCCGTTTAATTTTTCTAAAAAATTTATATTGTTTTAAAATTTTTGAAAATTTTAAAATTTTGATAAAATTGTAGGTTAAATTTTTAAAATTTTTTAGAATTATATTTTGGGCCTTCTTTTCTTTCCTATAAAGCTTTCAAAACTTTGCTAATCGTATTTTTTTATATTTTGGACGCAGCCTAAATAAAATTAATATAATTTTTATACTACGTTAAAAAAATTAATACTATTTTTACTACATTAAAAATATTTATATATGTAAGAAGCAAATATGAAATTGCTTACTTTTTTAATATAAGAGAGAAAATCAAGCGAATGTATTGTCACAATTTATTCGATAATATTATGTAATTTTATGTTTAGAAAATATGCCTTGGGAAAACAAATAAAAAGATGTTTATTTTTTTTTAATAAATAAAAGATAAATAATTTTTTTTGTATTTTACTTTTACCTTTCTTTTCTAATAAATATTTATCTTTTTTTAAAATAAGTAATTAGTTTAATCGGGTTCTTGAAAATTTATTAAAAATACATTTTAGCTCAATATTTTGATATAAATTATAAAAAAATTTCTTTTTGAATAATAATCAACACCAACTTATTAAAACTTAATAAATTCAAAATTTTTTAACTTTGTCTTCATTACCCGCAAGTTCAGATCCGGGATCTTATTATTTAATAGGAATAAAAATTTTATCGATTAGTCATCTATTTCAATTAAAAAATTATTAAAGAGTAATCTAACAATTTATTATGTTACTCAAAAACAAAGAGTAATTCAGATATCTCATAAATCATATTAATATTTTGTAAAGGTTTGTTTATAAAAATAGGAAGTCCATTGCTTCGATGGCACTAAACTTCACGCTTCGTTTTTGCCATCATATGACTTCGTAAAATATTTAAGCAATGAATGCAAATTATTATATTATTCACCATAGATCAGTGGCGTCACTATGGGGGGGGCGCAGGGGTTCGAGCCTCCTAAAAATCTGAATAGCCCCCTGTAGCAATTTTTTTTAATGGCTCTTTAATATCCTCTTGAACTAAAAATAAATTTTTCTGATTGCCCTTGTCCCTTGAACGATTTCTTTTATAATTCTATTAAGTAATATATAGATTTAATTTTATTATTTAAAAATTAATAAAACTATATAAATTTTTATCAAATGAATAATATTTTAATCACTAGATTATATTAATACATATAAATTATATTTTCACTATCTCATCTTGCAATCAAATTCTATGTTAAAAATGGATTATCAATACTATGCAAAATGTTTAAATACCAATTTAGCATTATTACAGTTAAAATTTAATTAATTTTTATTATTTAAACTATTTTAAATAAATAATTAAATAAATATAATCATTTATTAATTGATATTTAACAAATTTAATATTGTAATTAACCGAGTTGAGTTTAAAATCACTATTTTAACTTAATTGTGTCTCTTTTTAAAAAGGTTTTTAAAAAAAAATTTAAAGAAAAAAGTAGCAATGATTTTGAGATGACTGCTCTTAATACTGGCAACAATTACAATTTTGATATTTTAGACCAAAGAAGAGCATTCAATACTAAAGCTGGTGAACAAGAATATTTAAAATACAGTATTTCAATTTCAAAATGCTTTAGATATTGAAAGACGAATAATTTTAGTTCTAAGGATAAGAGATATAAAATTGAAAACAAAAAAGTTAAAAGAAAGAAAATAGGTAAATTAATTTATATATATTTTATTTATAAAATAATAGAAACTATACATGAACAGGGTTGCCATGTCTCCCCCCATCAGCGTGAGACTCCCGCAATTTTTTAGTTAGCACGCAGACATCTCTCTCCCGCTAAACTACCACAATTGGAAATCTCCCGCAAAAATCTACCGCAATTTTTTAAAATTTTTTTTAACGTTTTTAATATATAAATAATAATTTTGAGAGACAGTAATTGATTATTTTTATATTTTTAAAATAAATTTTAAATATTTATTCGAAAAACATGTCTAGTTTGTAAATTTATATTATATCCTGTTTTATTTTTATCCAATAATAAATCAATATCATTTCATTCATCAGTACAGGGGAGTATATCAACATCGATTGCAATACAAAAATATTCTCTAAAAATTATAAATAATACAGATGCAACTACAATTGCGGAAATCGTATACATTTATCATGTAGTTCAACATTCACAGAGCTATATCATCACAATATGGGTCGAATCTTTTTCCCATGATATTTAACGACTCTAATATAAGTGCAAACCTGACTTGTGGTAGAACAAAAATGAACAAGGCTATCACAAGTGTTTTAGTACCTGAATCCTAGAGGTCAATTTTAAACGATTTGAAAGATGGGCATCCATATGCAATTTTGACAGATGCATCTAAGGGAAATATTAAAACATTTCCCTTGATCTTTCGCTATTTCAACATAAGAACATTTCAATAAAACTGTTACATTTTTTCCTCGGATAGTGAAAAATTTAACGATGTAGCAAACCACATAATCAATGAATTGCATGTCAGCTTTCTGTGCTGATAATGTCTCTGAAAATTTTGGCAAAAACCAAAGTGTATTTACCTAATTGAGGCAGCACAATAATGAATTAATACCAATTGACTGTATTTGCCATATACTACATGATTATTGC